AGGAAGACTGGGCAATCTACTTCCATAAAGATTTACCACCTCAGAAACCCAGAGGGGTTTGCTATGAGTCAGAATCAACTCCATGGCAATGCGTTTGCTTTCTGGTTATGATGCTGAAAGTTATGCCACTGTATTTCAAATACCAGCAGAGTCACCCTTGGTGGGCAAGATTCAGTGGAGCTTCCTGATTCAGACAGACTAGAAAGACAGGCTAGCAGTCTGCTTCGGAAAGTTAGCCAGGGAAAACCCTATGGATCGTAAAAGAATACTGTCTGATATGCTGCTGGAAGACGAGTCCTTAATGTTGGAAGGCACTCAGAATCAACAGTTGTCATGCTGCATCAGTGGACTCAAGCATAACAACGATCAGACCAGGTGCCAACACTCGATGGCACAGGACCAGGCAACGTTTTGTTCTGTTGTATGAGTTGGAGCCAACTTGACAAAAATTAACAAAAACATACATGTTTTCACACTTAATTTGAAATGGGTACCATTACCATCCCCACTTTATAGAGGAGAAAGCAGGCTTAGAAAGGTTAAGTAATTTACTAGCTAGAAGGTAATGGAGCTGGGACTCAATTCAGGTCTGTTGGGCTCTAGAAGAGAACCCACACGTGCCACCCTGAGTCTGTTATTGTTAGGTGCCATCCAGTTGATTCCAATTCATAATGGATCCATGTGACAAAGTGGAACTGTCCCATAGGGGTTTTCTAGGTTGTAATCTTTACAGAGCAGATTGCCAGGCCTTTTCTCTGGTGGGTGCTTTTTCAACCACCCAATGTTCCTAAACAACCGTCAGCATTTAATTCAGGCCAAGTTCTGTTCTGAGTGTGTCTGTCTTTGGCACATTCTTACAGCCAATGTTGTCTCTCAGACATCTCTCCTTCTCTTTGGGGCTAAGGCTTAGCCCTGTTCCCATGTGTCTTCCATCTCTTCCTGAAGCTTTCCCAGATATTATCAGCACACAGTAACTGTGAACTCTGAGATTTACTGCTTGTTCTCTGGGCCAATGGTGGGGGTGGAGATGGATAAGAAGTGGGGATAAATTAAACCAAAACCAAACCCATTGCCTTCCAGTAGATTCCAATTTAGTGACTCTAGAGGACACAGTAGAAATGCCCATAGGGTGCAAGGCTGTAATATTTATGGAAGCTAACTTCTACATCTTCCTGGATGGGCTGCTGGGTTCTAATCACTAATATTTCAGGAGCAGCCAAGAGCAGAGGTGAACCACTGTGAGATAAGGTGTCTGGACAGGTCTCATGTAAAGAGATTTTAAGCTGAGGGTCACTGTTAGTGGGAATCTACTCAGTAGCAGTGAGTTTGGTGTTGGTTTGGATTTAAATCCTTAATAAGAAGCCTGAGTGGGGGGAAAATGTTGCTGAGGTTGAATTCCATTCCATGAGGTCCTCCTTTTGGGTCTCAATAGACACTTTTCTGTGTGGCCTGAAAACATCACTTCTCCCAGCATCTGCTACCATGTTAAGGACAAAGTTGAGGATATGAGTGGACTTTTGTGAAGGCCAACACTGGATTAATCCTACTGTGTCACAGAACCTGGTACATAGTAGGTGATAAATGTCAAGGCTTATGCCTTTTTTGTCTTTCACAGTTCTTGCTGTCCAAGTCCAAACCCATTGCTATTGAATCAATTCTGACTCATAGAGACCCCCATTGGATTTCCGAGGTGGTAAATCTTTACAGAAGTAGATTGCCCAGTCTTGCTTCTGCAGAGTGGCTGGTGGGTTTGAACCACCAACTTTCTAGTTAGCAGTCAGATGCCTTAGGCACTGTGCTACCAGAGCTCCTTGCTGAGTTGCCTTAAATAATGCAATGCAAAGCCAAGTAATCTCAATAAAAATCAAGCCTAGCCCTCCTAAGGCCTTACTCATTGTGGTAGTTAAGGTTATGTGCCAAGTTGGTTGGGGCTGGTGTTGAGTGGCTGGGCAGCCAGATGTAGTTATTACCCATGATGAGACTGGTAATCAACTCTATCGTGGGATCTACTCTGAGCAGCTGAGTAGGATGTGGTCTACTTCTGGTATGTAAAGAAGAAGCTTTGAGAAAGGTCTCTAGCTTTTTGGCTCATCTGGATCCTTCATTTGGCCGAGTCTTCATCTCAGTGGCCTGCCATGTAGTTTGCTGATCTTGTGACTGTTTTTGGACTTGAACTGGTGGCCTGCCTTGTTGCTTGATAATTTGGGGACTGTGCCATTTGACTTGTCCACCTTGGGTTTGTCAGCCTCTGCATCCAGCAGCTGATGAATTAAGAGAAGCCTCCAGCTTCAGTGGGCCAGGAGCAAGAGGCAGAGCTCAAGTCCAAGGTCAAGGAGCCTCCACCCAGCCCCTAGAGCTGGCACTTTGAACTCAGACTACTAGCCTCCTGAGCTGTAAGAGAATAAATCCTTGTTTGTTAAAGCCATCCATTTGTGGTATTTTCTTCCAGAGCCGGCACTAGAGAACCAAAACATTCATGTACATTATTTTCCATGAACTTTATGTTGCCTTCCTTCAATGTTTCAAAACGTTTACCCTTTATCTAAAACCCTACACAAATGCCACCTCTTCCATCAAAATTTGCTCTGCTCTGCAAGGCACGTAGTTGCTTGTGCAGTAGTCAGGCCACATTGCTGTGGTAGCTTCCACCTTACAAAACCCAAAACCAAACTCACTGCTGTGGAGTGGATTCAACTCATAGCGACCCCTCCCTGGGTTTCCAAGGCAGTATCTCTACAGAAGTAGATTGCCCAATCTTCTGAGGAGTAACTGGTGGGTTTGAACTGCCAGCCTTCTGGCTAGCAGTCAAATTTTTGCCTTAGGCACTATGCTTACAGAATTGGTATCAGTCTGCTGGGCTCTGAACTCCTAGAGGTCTGCGGCTGGCTCTTACTCTCCCCTTACCAAAACTAAGCGGTTATAAAGGCAAGGGTAGCTGTAGTGAAAGTATCAATTCGCCAAGATGTTTCAGGAAATTTTTGGACCCAGAATAATTTGTATTTTATTTGTAGGGTACGTTTAAAAAAAATATTTACACACTAAATAAATACCTTCAACTATCCTAATGTCGTCATAAGTACTCTGTGTGTGAGTAAGGTTAATATCGCCAATTTACTAAGGAAATCGTCTCCGGAGATTAAGGTTTTTTGTTCAAAGTCATAGAGGAGACACAATCAAGCCAAGAAGGCCAGCGCCACCTGTGAACGGCGGGTCTGTGAGCCGAAAACCTTTTGAACTTCTTCGGCCACCGTCTCAGGGTTCACTCCTCTGTTTGCGCCTGCGCATTGCTAATGCGCCGTCCATTTCTCCATCATTCGGGAAGGACGTTGGTGTTGAGGTGAGACTTGCTAGCTTTTTCGTTTTCTCGCGTTCTGCTTTCAACAGCTGCCTCTTCTCCAGTGACAACACTCTGCCTGTCTTGGGGTTGAGTCACGATTCTGCATCTCAGCGTCTGGGACCCTCGGACCTCGTCCGCGCCGACCCCTGCGCGCGTCTGCCGCGGCCTCAGGAGAGCGGCGGACCGGGTTCCAGCTTCGGTTTTACGAGCGACTGTGACCTTGGATAGGTCACTGGACAGTTTAATCCCAACGTTTTCACCCATGTAAAGGGGGCGGTAGTCTCTTCCTTAGGGGGTCGTGAGGCGTAAGGGACATCACTGCTAAAGCAGTGTTGGCGTTCACTGAGTGGTAGCGTTTTTGATTGGAATTAGGAGGGTGGGAGAGGGTCGTCACGCCGGCCACGGGCTGGGGGTGGGGGGAGCTCTGCCGGAAGCGGCGGCTTTCCGGCCCTGGCTTGGGATTGTGTAGTGTAGAAGGTGTGAGCATGGGCTCTCGAGGCCGAGTTGCCAGCGTTCCCACCAGAGTTTAATCGTTTACATTGTGATCTTTGGAACGTTACTTACGCTACGTGTGCACTAGTTTTTTCATCAACAAAATGGGGATATTGGCAGGAAGTACCTCACGAAGGTAGTTACTTGAAGCACTTACTGATGAAGGTCAAGGACTACAGCCTTCAGTATGGACAACTCAGTAAAACAAAAATCCTCACAAGTGGACCGATAAGCTACATCATGATAAACAGGGAAAAAGATCGAAGATGTAAAAGATTTTATTTAATTGAATCCACAGTCACCCCATGGAACAGTCAAGAAGTGAAACGTTTGGGCACATTTGCCTCAAAAGACCTCTTTAAAGTGGTAAAGTGCAAAGATGTCACTTGACCCAAGCCATGGTATTTTCAGTCTCCTCTTACGCATAAGAAAGCTGGACAATGAATAAGGAAGACAGAAGAATTGATTGATTTGAATGGTGGTGTTGGTAAAGAATATTGAATGTACGTGGACAGCCAGAAATATGAACAGATCTGTCTTGGAAGAACTATAGCTGGAATGCTCCTTAGAAGGCAGGATGGTGACACTTTCTCTCACATACTTTGGTCATGTTATCAGGAGGGACTGGTGCCTGGAGAAGGACAACATGCCTCGTAAAGTAGAGGCTCAGTGAAAAAGAGGAAGACTCTCAGTGAGATGGGTTGGCAACAGTGGCTGCAACAGTGTCCTCAGGCATAATGGTTGTGAGGATGGCACATGTCCAGGCAGTTGTGTTGTACGTGGGGTTGCAATGAGTCGGAATCAACTGGACAGCACCTAACAGCAACCTTAACAGAGTTGTCTTGAAGAGTAAATTAGTTGATGGTTAGCATTTGCACTTAGAGTTATCAGTCCAAAAACAATACTTGTCTCTTTTGTAGTTGGGAGATTTTTGTTTGTAAATTTGTTTGCTAGTGTTGGGCCTCAGTTATCTTGGACATTTTGGGTAATTGTTAAGCATATGAGAGAAAAATGATGGCGCCAACTAAGCCTCACCCTTAGCTTTGTGGAAGAGTCAGTCCACTGCCTATGCCTTTCAAAGTACTAAAATACATCGCGTGTAAGAATTCTTATTTTCTAAGGATTTTTATTTATTTTTTTAAAATTTTACCTGTCAGGGGAAAGAATCACCATGTCTTCCAGTGCTTTGGCAAAACCTCAGATGCGAGGCCTTCTGGCTAAGCGTCTGCGAATGCATATCGTAGGAGCATTCATTATGTCTCTGGGGGTTGCAACTTTCTATAAGGTATGTATATTTGTTTTTCACTTTGTGCGTAAGGTTAAAAAGTATATGTATTTGATTTTAAAGTTTATTTTTATAAGTACTGTAATTTAGAGTTTTTTTGAAGAAAATCCCTCTTTGATGTGTTCTCTCCCTCTTCCCCTCCCCTTCTGTGACAAGTATTAAAACAAAAATCATATTAAGCCAATAATGGAACTTGATAAAAGTTTATTTACTGTATGATTTACAAATCAAGGTAATATTTTGACTAAATGTCCCCAAGATTAAAAAAAAAAAATTCTGCAATTCTTAAATTACATTTTATTAGCTTTGTGATGGAAATGGCCAGAACGGTGTTCATATAACAACAACTTACCCTAAAACACAGCTTCATGTCTGACTTTGGAGTTTTTGTTCTGGAAAATGACTATGCAAAAATAGTTCTTCAGGTGAGCCCAATGCCTAAGGCAAACCAGTTTTGACTAGTTTATCTAGACCATTGTTTGACTTAATGGTGACTTTCAGAAGACCATTTTATTCAGGGCTCAAGATTCAGAAGGACACCTGTTGGGTTACCCCCAACCTCCATGAAAGCCAGAAACTTCATTCCAGAATTAAAACTAAGTCTCAGAGGAAAATACCTGTGGCACCCTATTGTCTAAAAGTAGGCACCAGAAATACAAATAATAGGTGCCTACTGAATAAGAGACCATGTCTGAAATAAAGTAGGATATTAGATACTATGAAGTTCCAAGTGCTTTGGAGGATACAAAAGTTAATATGACTAAATCTTTATCCTTATAACAACTTGGAGTCAGGTTGGGGGGTGAAAAAAGTTACAGGCTATTGAAAGATAAAAATGGGGGGCGACATGTTTGGGAGGTAGTGTTGTTGGGCAGAAGAAAGATTGGTGTGGGTTACAGCTCTTCAATAAAGGACGTAGGATTTGAGCCTTGAAAGTTTGGGAGAACTTAAAGAGCAGAAGTACCACACTGGGGCCATGCTCTGGGACCCTTTGAAGAGACAAGCACAAAGAATAAATCCTTTAGTGTGAGACCTTGAGATTCCTGTTGCCTGACACACATCAGTTGCTCTCAGGTCAATTCTGACTCACGGTGACTCGGTGTGTATAGAGTAGAACTGCTGTAGGGTTTTCAGGCTGTGACCTTTGAGAAGCAGATCCCTAGGACTGTCTTCTAAGGTGCCTCTCAGTGAGTTCAAACTGCCAACCTTCCAGCTAATAGTTATCCAGGGACAAGTGGGCATGAAATAAATGTGGAATGAAAGGATAAGTGGGTGAGTCAGTGAATGGAGGTGAGGAGAGGGAAATAGAATGAACTCATTACTTGACTCCATCCTGGTCACTGCCCATGTTAGGCCTTTATAAATTCTTGGGTGGATTCTTGCCACTTTTAACTGCCAGTGTGCATTGGCTTTCAAACTTTTTAAAAATACATTTTTATATTGTGATTCAGTTAATCTATACACATAACTTTGTCTAGGGAGTTTGTAAGGAGCCCTGGTGGAACAGTGGTTAGAGGTCAGTCGTGAACTGAAAGCTCAGTAGTTTGAGCCCACCAGCCACTCTGCAGGAGAAAGACGTGGCAGTCTCCTTCCATAAATACTACAGCCTTGGCAGCAGACATTTGTACTGTCCTGTAGGGTTGTTACGAGTCAGAGTGGATGACAGTGGGTTTGTTTTTGTTTTAGAGAGTTGATAAATGTCTATACACACAGTAAATATTTTCTTTTTTTGAAGTGCTAGCTGCAGCCTTTTTAATTGGTTTCATGGCCTACTCGAGGGTTGTGGGTTACTTCTGAAAAACACCAATGCTCAAACTAGTTTTGTTTGTAAGATCCTTTCTGTTTTGCCCTCTCTTTGCCAGCATCATTTCTCCATCATTCCTAATGTACCCAACTCACTAGCCATTCAGAACTGCTCACTGTTACCTAGTTGTACTTTTTTCTCCCACAGTTTTGCAGCATACTAGGATTATCTTTCACTTCAGTGTCTGGCAAATTCCACTGTATCCTCAGGGCCTGCTCAGATCCTTTGTTTAGAGACTGTAACCCATTCCCCAAGATGGGTTAGTTGCACTCTTGGATTCTCAGGCACTTTGTTGTACAGCTTTGGCACGTTGTATTTTACTTCCAGGCCTGTCTCTTCTGTTAAACTAGGAGCTTGTACCATTCTAGATAAATGGTCAGTGTGTTAGGATGGAAAATCAAGAAATGCTTGGTAAACGAGTCAGAGCATTTATGTTTACAGTAGTTGGCTGTTTGGCTTTGATTGGAAGGAAAGTTCCCAGAACCATTGAGGATACAGGAGTAAACCTTAGTGCCTTTAGTAGACATTGAACTCCTTCCTTTCTCCTAACTACTTAGTGTTGAGTACTTTTGAAGGCCTGGGTATTTTTTCTTATTACCAGTTTGTACTGTTTTGACAGTCAAGGTCTATGTTCTTTACATGAAGTAGCCATCCAGTAAATCATTTCTGGTTAAGCTAATTTGCCATAAATCTAAATTCATGAGCATGGGTTAGATGTTAAGGGGCACATGAACAGTGTTTATTCTGAATGGAATTTTCCCCCAGGTTCACTAGTTACTGCTATTAGTTGTTATCATTTCACTTTGACTCATGGCAACCCCATGTGTACAGAGTAGAACTGCTCCATAGGATTTTCAAGGCTGTGACATTTTGGAAGCAGATTACCAGGTTTCTCAGGTGCTTCTTGGCTTGCAGTCCTTTGGCTGCAGTGAGCACTTGGCCATTTGTGCCACCAGAGGACCTTGTTGGTAGGTGCCACAGGGTCCATTTCAACTCAGAGCAACCCTGTACGGTACCACAGAATGAAACACTGCCTGGTCCTGTGCCATCCTCACAGCCATCACTATGCTTGAGCCCATTGTTGCAGCCACTGTGTCAGTCCATCACATTGAGGGTCTACCTCTTTTTTTTTTTTGGTGACCTTCTTTTATACCAAGCATAATAGCCTTCTCCAGTGACTGGTCCCTCCTGATAACATGACAAAAGTATGCAAGATGAAGTCTCACCATCCTTGCTTTTAAGGGGCATTCTCGTGGTACTTCTTCCAAGACAGATTTGTTCCCTCTCCTGGCAGTCCATGATACATTCAGTATTTTTTGCCAACACTAATTCAAAGGCATCAGTTCTACTTTGGTCTTCAGTATTCATTGTCCAGCTTTCTCATGCATATGAGGTGATTGAAAATATCACAGCTTAAGTCAGGCACACCTTATAAATTCAAAGTGGTATCTTTGCTTTTTAACACTTTAAAGACATCTTTGCAGCAGATTTGTCCAATACAGTACATTGTCTGATTTCTTGACTGCTGCTTCCATGAGAGTTGATTGTGGATTCAGGAATAATGAAATCCTTGACAACTTCAGTCTTTTCTCCATTTATGGTGTTACTGTCATATAAATTAGACTTGTAAGTCTTCAGGGTAGTTGGCGTGTCTTTATAAGTCTTAGGACGTGTAGAAGTATGGGGTTCAAATCAAAGGTGAATACAAACAGACTAGGATTTACTTTTTCTTTAGGTATTAAATTTCTAATAATCAGAAAAAATTCTAATGAACTGTTACTTTTTAGTTTGGAGTAGCTGAGCCCAGAAAGAAGGCATATGCAGATTTCTACAGAAATTATGATTCCATGAAGGATTTTGAGGAGATGAGAAAAGCTGGTGTCTTTCAGAGTGCAAAGTGATTTGGGAATGTAAAGGTAATATGCTTATTTTATCTGAAGCTACTTTTTAATATTCAAAATAGTTTCTCAAATTATGCTATTAATTGCTAGGTGGACATGAGGAAAATCACTTTAGAAGGTGTCGTGCTTCGAAAAGGACTGACTAGTGTGCTGCTGAAGACTAATTCACCAAATTTTTTTGAAAGCTGGTGCCAAGTGTACCTTATAAAACTGTTCATACTCTGAAAGTTTGTCATGCAGCTGTTGAACTAAAGTTCAACAAAAAAAAATGAGGGAACAGTTTTTATAGGTTCTATCCACCCCTCAGCCCACAGTGAGTTTGATGTGACATGGAGTGTGTGGATCTGTTGTTTTTTCAGGCAAATGGTCCTGAATGCCTCTAGTTGTATTAGCATCTCCACTTTAAAAAAAAAAAAAAAAAAAAGTATTTTTTCCAACACACCTGTGGTGGGGAGGAGACCACCTGCATTGGATTTAGATCAATTTTCTAAGCGATAACAGAGTAATTTTGACTGATTTTTGCCTAGTGAAAGATTTGATTCTACAACATTCCATTTCTAGGTGTTTATGTTAAGGATAAACAGACGCATACATAGTGGTATTTTTAATAGAAAAAATAGAAACATTTATTTCCAATGATTGGAAAATTGATAGAGAAATTAGGATTTTTTTTTTTCATGCTGTGGGCTTATATCCATTGGAAATGATGTTCACAAGGTAACATTAATAAATTTTGATATAATAGAAAAGTAAGAATATTTTATGGACTGAGCTATGCTGTATAAAAATGTACAGAAAAAAGGTTGAAGGGAACTCAGTATTTTAAAGGTTGTATTTGGAATCATAAAATGGCTACTTGTAACTTTGTAATTTTTAAATTTTCTACAGTGGGTATGTATTTCACAATCAAAATGTTAGTGGGCTAATTTTTGTTTGTTACATTTTACCTTTTTTATTTGTGAAATTGGTGTTTACAAACAAACTGGTAAGAGAAAAATTTATTTGGAGACAAGAACAGAGGGGCTTCTTGTTTTGACTGATGTTAGGAACAGTTTGGGGTATGACAAGGAATGGAGTGGGGTGGACTGGGGAGATGAGGAAAAAGCAGAGTTTGTTACATGAAAGCAAGGTGTTCTGGGCCTAAAGCAGAAAAGGGGCTGGTTGAGGCGGTCAGGAATGTTAGAGGAGAATGAATAAACTTGGAGCCCAGCCAGCCCGAGCTGGGCTTCTGGGGCTGAAGGTAAGTGATCCCAGTGTGGGGTCTTCCATAGGAGTAGACCTCAGGTGATCTCATAGATAGTGTGAGTATTGAGCGAATGTTTGTCTTTAAGTTGGCCATTGTGTTTCTTTCCACAGACTTTCTTTGACTTGAATTCCATAAGAGTTGTCACTGACCTATGTTCCTGAACTATGAAAAATGACTGTGTGGACTAAGGAATGGTTTCTCTTGATAAATAAACAATTAACAAATAATTTGGACAGTAAGTCTTTTGTTCGATCATTATTTAGAGCATTTGAAAACATCAGAACTTAACTGTGTTTATATAGTTGATGAATGAAGATAACTGGTTATCAGTGATTGAAAAATTTCATAGTTTCAGTACATCTTTGAGAGCCCTGGCATTTTGTTCTTTACATTGAGGTGTACTGCTAGGTGTGATTACTTGGCTCTGGGCAAGCCATGGATTTAAGAGGTCGACATGACTAGTATGCCATGGGCTCTAACCCTTGTGTTAGAAAAAGGGACAGAGATGGCTTTCTAATAAAATCTGTCCTTGGTCTTCATTGCCATTCTGTGGTAGGCTTTCAAACCATCAGGAAGATGAAGTAGCTCACTGGATTCTGTACTTAGTATTACTTTACTGAAGAGCTAATAACATGCTCATGGAATTTGGCATATGTACGTAAGAAAACAGTTCTTGTAAATTACTTGTCAATGGCTTAGAGTATGGTACTTTTTCTGAGGTTTATTATTATCTTAGGACTTATCTCACTTTTATTAAGTCTTTTTGTGATCAAAGTGCTTACTACAGAGAGCTTTAAAAATTATTTTAGCCAAAGCTAGTTTAATCACTGTCACTTTATTAAGAGTTCAAATCATTTTAAAGTCAGCTGCAGAATTCTTGAGATTTAGTGATGTGAATTATATCAAACCCATGTTTATCAGTGAACAAAATTGCATGGTAAAACTCTTGGTAGGAATAGACATTTATGTGCAATCAGTAGTTGTTCATGGGTACCTTTTATTTTAAATTATACAGCAATTCTTAGAAGTAGTATGCAAAATTACCATAAAAGATACTAGAATACATATTTACATTCTTAAAAACAGTTACTCTTGAAGTTGACAAAACTCATTTTCTTAAGTGACTGTTACACACCAAACTAATGAAGGAACCATTTCTTATATTCAGCCTCCAAACTCTCCATTAACATTGTTGCTTTTGAGAAACTCACTTATGACAAGCAACATATGTGATGAGACTTAGTTCAAGAAGAGTAGGCATCTGAAGTAACATTTATTTTCTTAGTGTCTCACAATTATAGGTGAGAAGTTGTAGGCCCAAATTTGGAAGTAATCAATCAATCAGTTTGAGTAATTAGAATATGAGATACTGATTGATTGAATTTTTAAGATGATGGCTGGTGACCAAGGATCTTGAACAAAACCCTATGGATGGCCTATTGTCATCTCAGGTGCACTGTGGTCAGACCCCTTTCACAAGGCAGTTTCAGAGGGAGTATGTGTTATTTATGGAACTAAGGAAACACACCTGAGCAGTCTGTCTGTCTTTTCACTGATAGTTACAAAAGGTTCACACTAAGCTTGCCTTGCCTAGTGAAACACAGTACTTTTTCCAAAATGTACCTGGCCAGTCATTTAATTAGAGTGTTTTGTAAACTGGAAAATGCAGACTTCAGAAGGTACATCATCATAGCTTTCATGAAAAGAACAGCATCAACAGTTAAGTAACAGATTTAACAAGGTAAACAGCATCTTCCTACCTAAGCATTTCCTTTAAAAAAATCCAAACCTTTGGAAGAGTATTAGGCAGAGATGGTTTCTCAGCCAAAAAACAGATGCAACTGGGAAGGTAGCCCTCATTTGAAGGCCTGACCCTTTTTACATTAATGTTCTAAGTTTAGTAAAAATATTAGCAAAAAGGAATGCATTTTGTCTCTATGGCATCATTTCCCCCAATGTGAAAAGAATAACTTTATTTTTTTCCCCACTCCATTTTAAAGTACCTTAGGAGAGGGTAAGAGTGAATGAATTTTGGAAGAGGAATACCTCGGGGCTCAAGGGAACCCCTTCCTGAGGGCTTTATTTTTCACCATAGTAAACTTACTAATGAAGACCTGCGCAAAGTACGGATCAACCAAATAGTGGTATGTTTTAACAGTGGAGGGGAGGGGCTCCATAGGTACCACGGGGTGTGGTGTTTGCATGGAGGAGCAGCTGGGCGCCAGGTGACAGGATGTCTTCGTGATGTAGTCCACAAGCCTGTTGTACTGTTGCTCTGACAGTCTCTCTCGGACTCCATCCACCTGGGATCCAAAAATAAAGATTGCGTAAGTTGCCAAACCCTCTTGATAAAATTACTTCTTTTGCAGTGATGCATCTGTACATTATGTCTTTTAGATCATCTATTGAAATACTCTCTAAAACAGTGTTTTCCTTTCCCCGAGATGTGGCAATGACGACACTGAAATTTTAACAGTAACAAAAGCTCTGCATAAGACTACTTGACACCTTCCTCTGAGTGTGTATTTGGTGTTACATGAAAACTCCCATGGTTCACATTAAGAATTTAACATTTTCCTCATTAACTATTAAAATATCTGTCCTTGTTCTTTGCCAACCAGCCCAAGAACATTTTTCTCCTAAGTCTAATCAGTATTAAACTCAGCACCATGGAGTAGAAGCTCTGTTAGCTGGTCTTTCCTTGAACCTCTTCAGTCTGACCCCAAAAAAATGAAGAAGTGTAAGTCTTTCAAACCAGTGGCTTTGGACAGAGCACTGAAAAATAAATACACCTTGAAGTGTAACAATTTTCTGTTTTTATAAATACTAGGATTTAAAGCCAGAGAAAACAGAAAATCTGGGCAGAGCAAAGGGAAATTTTTATGTGCAGGGAGGATGCAAAGTACATTTATGGTTCATAAAAGTCTGGCTCCTCTTCAGTGGAACTCAAATAGGAGACATGGGATACACCACCTAAGTTCTGAAGAGATTTTCTGAGAAAGCACCCTTCAAAGGCAGTTGGAGTTACTACTGCTTCCCCCTGAAATTCCTCACTTATCTGTGTCCATCAGGTGAAGTGGGACAGTGCCCATGTCAGGCACTGATCTTTCAGCATTTGTTACTTACCAAAAGTTAGGAAGGCCACTCTGAAGAATTACAACCATCTTAATGAGGGCTTTTTAGTTTGCAAAGTAGAGGTAACAAGAGTGTCTGAAACCTGCAGAAAACCAGTGAGATGCCAGGAGCTAGTAAAGGGGCTGCCACACTTTAAGTAGGGCAGCTGTTAGAGTTCAGATCGCCTGTTTTAAGCTTGGGAAAGAAAATAAAAGCCCCCAAAGAATCCCTGACAGATGAAAGCTGTACCACCAGCAGAAAGCAGCGTTGGGATGGCATCATGTGCTGGGGCCAGGATTCAGCTGGTGAGCTCTGAGTACATAGGAAGTCCTAACTGCTCCTCCTGGGCAGCAGCACAGGAAAAGCCATGTTGTGAAAGGAACCCGGCCAAGGAGTAAGCTGACCTTCCTGACTCATTTTGAGCCTTTCATAAGGGATTTCAATAATGTGCCAGGCATATTAAGCAATTATTACCCTAAAAATGGCTGCATCTGACCAAGAAAAGCAAATGCCGATTTAAAAAAAAAAATCTGAATCTTGCCATATTTGAATGTACTGAATGATGTCATGTACAAATAAATTCCTTCCAAAATTCAAAGAAGCTATGTTTCTTAGCATCTAAAGCAAAAGCAGTAACCAG